AGCGGATTAGAGGGGACGAGTGCTAGAGTGCCTACCGTTCCGGGTCTCAAGTGCGGACGGACCTGCTTCAATTTCCCGGCTCAAGTGTGTGGGACATCATTTTTCAAGACTTACATGAAATTGACTAATTTTCGAGTCAGCGCCGCTGCCGGCGTCTCTGCCGGCATTGCACCTACAAATTTTTACCTGTCAGCTGAGTGCATCCCGCTCACGCCCGTGAAGATTGGGTGACATTGCCGGGAGTGGAAGGGAGAGAGGAAAGAGAGGAGCGGCGACGGACTGCCCATTGATGAAATTGACTTTTTATGTTGTTGCCGTTGACTTCTTGCCGATCCTCTGCCGTCGTCGCAGTCGCCGCCTGCGCCGACGTCGACGCCAACGCCTGGAACTGGATCTGGATATTTGGGATTAAGTTTTTGTTTACTTCGGGGCGTTTTTTAGTTTGTTTGTCCAGCTCAAGGAAGTCGGATCGTTGTGCTCTCGCTCTTCAAAAAAACAAAAGTCAAAAAAAAGAAAAGAAAACCGAGGTAGAGACAAAAGCCCCGGAATCGGTTGAGTGCTCGTAAATGGATTAGTACGAAATTTATCGCTTTATAGGCCACATTAATCAAATGTCTTACAACAAGGCCCATAAAATGCCATATAAATAATAAACAAACTTCGTGTAAAAGTGCCATAAAACATTTCTGAACTTGTTGCAATTAATCTGAATGCATTTGTGATGCGATTATTTATTTACACTTCCCAACGACACCGTCAAAATCAATAACCAAAGCTATATAGAATCGAATCGAATCAAATATATATCCACATCGGAAGCCCAATCCGTATCGGTTTCAACCTCAACTTGAACTGAGCTGCGTGCGTGCCCATTAATCATTCTAAAACGAGCCGCGAATCGCGAATTATTCGGCCATAAATCATGGGCATCTTACTGAGTGATGGCGATGTAAGTTTACCTCACGTTTTTCACGTTCTCGTTAATATGTCACCAAACATGTGCTCCAGCTTCTTTTTTGGCTTGGGTAACAAGTTTACAACTTGAATTAAAGACACAAACCACTCAATCAAAAATAAACTTATTTATAATTTAACACAAAATATTTGACAAGTTTTAATAAATTATTATAAACTACATTGAAATAGGAGATTGTTTTGGCCAAATAACAATAAAGTGACAAAGTTTATTGTAGCCTTCTCAAGAAATAAAATCGGTCTCATCAATTGATTTTAGATTCAATTTTTCAAGTTAGCAAGTCAAATTTAAATAGGAATAAGTGTTAAATAAAAAATTAAAGTTTTAATAAATAAATTAAAAATATTTTTTAAAAAGATTTATAAAAAATTATTATTGTTATCAAAAACAATTACATAAAAGTTTCAATAATTAAACCATCTTTAAAGTCAAGTCTTATATATCAGCTTGTCTTTGTCTCTCAAACAGAAATAATTAATCAGATTAATTAGTTTCGCATCGGCTTTAATTACGCCTCAGTCTTAAAGCTGGTAAATGTAGTAAAATGATTTTCCTCTTATGAGATGAGCCTTGACAGGCGGCAATCTTAAATGGCACAGCGATTAGGACAAAACAAAATGCAAGACCGAAACAAGCAGCTAAGTTGGAGCTGGAGCGGGGGAGGGGTGAGAAAGGCGGCAGGAGAAAGCGCGGAGAGAGCCTGGAATAGCAAAGATCAATGAATGAATGAGTCAAGTGGAGTTGGCAGAAGTGGAGAGGAGTGGATAGTTGAAAACAGGATCCTTCACTTGACGGCAGAGCGCCAGCTTGAGAGCGGGAAAAATAAAACAAGACACAAACACTCAAAGCGCCGCTCATCCTCATTCTGCACTTATCCTCTACCCCCCATCCTCTTCGGGATCCCCCTTCTCATCCTGATTGTGACTCCTCGGCCGTTGTTTTGTTTTTGCCCGGCCATTCCCGCTCAAGTGGTTTTCTCTGTTTGTTTTTGTTCCTTCATTTGCGGTGACAAATTATTAACGTTATACTCAGTGTGGGTATAGGTATCGTTATCCTCTTTTCTTTCTGTTCTCTTCCACACTCAAAAAAATGTATACCCAAATCTAATCTTAATATTTCTTATGAAAATAAATGTATTTTATCTTAAAAGCTTGGCCATTTGGAAAGTAGTAATAAACAAAAGAAAATTCCCAAACGTGCTTTCATAAACTTTATGAAAAACTTTTCTAATTTATACTAATTATATTTGGGGGATCAAAATATTAAACTCTTACAATAAAAAACCGTTTAAAGTTTTGTAAGATACGCAGAACTGTTTTAGAAGATACAACTTTTTTATTTTTATTTAAGTGCACTTTTATGAAATTAATTTTTTATGGCTGTTTATTGAATTCCTCGCCTCCTTTGGGGATTACGCGGCTTGTCCCTTTTGCTGATCGCTTTTTAATAAGCGCCAAAGCACCCTCTCCTTCGCTCGCACGTTGGATCACCATGCATACGTCATGATCCCTTCTATCCGTTCTCTCATCCTTATTCCCTTCGCCTGCCTTGTTGACAATTTTTCGTATGGTTGCCGCCTCCTTTGATCTCGCCCTGCAACTTCCAGGCCGACTTTAGCTCCATCGCCATCGCATCTCTCACTCGGCGCTCTCTTTGATCGAGTGATCTTCTAAGGGGAGCGACATCATTATGCACGCGTGGTCAACTCTTTGATTGCCTGCGACTCTCTGTCCCTTTCGCTCTCATGCTCCTCTGGAATTTGAGGAATTGCAGCCGAAATTGCTGTACTGATCTTTACCTATCCCCCTCCCGCTCATACAATTAATTTGTTTTGACAGTTGCGTGTTGAGTCTTAAATATTATTGCTCATACGTCATGTTGCACTCAACCAATCTGATTTTATATCTTATAATTTGTCATTTCGATCAAACTTTGAAAGAGTAATTTCTTAAGAGAATTTGTTTGCAAGTATTTTACATAAATTCTTAAGCTTTTAAGCATATAAACTTAACATATGGTTACAGAATTTTTCAACATATTTGTTCAATATATTATTAAAGCCACCTAACCACATTACTATACAGAATTTACATAAATACTTTACAAAATTTACATTATAAAATTTGAAGTTGCAGTCATCATCAAAAAAACGAGCTGAGTTCGAGTAACTAGTTTAAAGCGTGCACTTTTTATTACATCGGATATAATTTTAAGCCTATTATTCATTGCAAAATATTGCTCAAATCGCCGGCGGCTTTTTAATCCACTGATCCCTAGCATCGATTTCTTGTTCACCAACTTGACTGCGCGCGATTACGTTGAACTGCAATTAAAAATCTTTTAATATCATAAATATTGCCCAAACTTTGCAATTCTCAATCCCCCACCCCTTAAGTGGCCATCTGTTTACAAATAAAATTTATTTGCGCCCCCCTCGAGACAAACGGGAATGAGAAAAATTAAAAATTTCATACATCATCGCATTAAATTTGTGGGATAAGATAAAGACGTCAAATGTTTTTCCCTCTTTTTTTACTTTTTTGGTGCTGACTGTAAAGGCAATTAAAAAATATATTCGAATATATCCGCATAAATAAAAATATGCAATTGGCGCCTTAATTGAAACCGATGTGAAGCACAGATTTCGATGATCGCTGTCGGGTTTCGTTATTGTTTTTTCTTCTTTGGCTGTTGAACTTTTCTGAAATAGGAATATAAAAAACTGAGTCTGAATAAACATTTAAGTGTATGTGTGGAAAACAGCCAAAGCCACTTGAAGACTTTTCCCTCATTTGGTGCAAAAATGTTGAATGAACAATGAAAATGTTTCATGAAATACAAAAACAATTGTAAAGATGAAAAGGCAACACATTTCTCTTAGGTAGGCGATTTGCAATTCGTTATATATTGATTACATTTTAAAGTATTATATTATGTGAAATAATAACAATGTAAATGCAATTTGTATTTTAAATAAACCGGTAGCTGCCTCAAATAATATGATGTTATAATTTTAACAATGAGTTTGGTATGTTTATATTAATTGATAATCGGAGAATTAAAAGGTGTTCTGTTAAGCCGAAAGAATCTTATTCCATACTAGTTAACTCCTTTGAATACGGTTCTTCTTTATCTATTCTTTATGGAATCATATGTAGATACGTACATCCCCAATTTATAATTTCAAAATGAGTACCGAGTGCTTGCGAATGACACTTTATGGTGTGTCCCTCTCCTCCTCCTCCTTCCCCTCCGCCCAGAAATTAAAGTGCCTACGCACCAGATAAGTGCTGCGAAGCCAAAGATACAAATGCACAAACTCACGGATGCCAAGATACACGAGCAGTGCGAGATGCAGAGAGCGCCATTAACTCGAGTTGGTAACCGAAAGGGCGCAGTCCGGGAAAACGGGTTCCGATTCGGAGGAGGGGGTTTAGCTGCCGGGGGAGGAGGGCTGAAGAGCAGACGCAGGAGCTGCAGTCAGAGGCGAAACCAAAATGGCTGCCAGTCAAGGGGAGTTGCCCAAGTGTCAGAGCATCCAATGGCAGTCCCTGAACGAAAGAGATGGAAATGGGGTCTGGGCAAAGGGACAGGATCTAAAAAGGGATGGAATGGGATATGGCCTTTGGGAGAGGGCGAATATTTTACACCAAATGATCAACGTCATTGGCTTTTCACATTACACAATCTCTAAACACTGTTTCCTTACATTTTTTCACTTGCAAAACTCAATTTGACACCATCAAATTGCGCCATCCAAATACATTTTAAAATAACAAGAATATTGAGACATATGTATATTTAAGCATAGAATCTTTTGTGAGGAATACTTTTTAAATTAAATTATTGCTCCAAATTTCTGTTTATAGCTGCCTTATATGATTTATACAAATTAGACAACTGTAACCTACAGCTATCTTAGAAACGATTGAATAAATAATAGTTAATATGTATTTGGATTCTTATTTAACATATTTAATCCTTTTAGTATGTAACTAATCAGTTTTATTTTGTATCCTTTGAGTCCACATCGGATCAGCTGTCGACACGCGACTATCCGCACTTCAGCGGCGACCATCAAAACGTGACGCTGCCGGTTGCTTCCGCATCCGCATCCGCTTCTGCCTCCCACGCGGCCGCCGTAAAGATGTACCACAGCAGCGCCGTAGCGGCCTACACGGACCTCGCTGCCGCCGGGAGTGCGGCCAGCGCTGGAGTCGGAGTCGGGGTGTCCGGCTACCATCAGCAGGCCGTAAACGCTCCGGTTTACGTGCCCTCCAACCGCCAGTATAACCACGTGCATTTCGGCAGTGCTGCGGCGCAGAATGCCTGGACCACGGACAGCTTTGGATCGGCGCATGGTCAGCTGCCGGCGCAGTTTTATTCACCGAATGCCGCCGTCATGATGGGCTCCTGGCGGAGTGCCTACGATCCGTCGGGCTTCCAGCGATCCTCGCCCTACGAGAGTGCCATGGACTTTCAGTTCGGCGAGGGACGCGAGTGCGTCAATTGCGGCGCCATATCTACACCTTTGTGGCGGCGAGATGGCACTGGGCACTACCTGTGCAACGCCTGCGGGCTGTACCACAAGATGAACGGAATGAACCGGCCGCTGATCAAGCCCAGCAAGCGCCTGGTGAGTGCAGTGAGTAGTCCCCTCCGATCCTTTCCAGATTCCGTTGCTAACTTGTTTCTACTTTCTTCAGACTGCCACCAGAAGGATGGGCTTGTGCTGCACCAACTGCGGTACCCGAACTACCACCCTTTGGAGGCGCAACAACGATGGGGAACCCGTGTGCAATGCCTGCGGTCTGTACTACAAGTTGCACGGTGTGAACCGACCACTGGCCATGCGCAAGGATGGCATCCAGACGAGGAAGCGAAAGCCCAAGAAAACGGGCAGCGGATCGGCTGGGGGATCGGGCACTGGCTCTGGATCGAGTTCCACTTTGGACGCCATCAAGGAGTGCAAGGAAGAGCATGGTAAGTGGTGACTTATAGGATTGTGTTGCTCATGACCAATTGGACAGAAAATAGGTTTTCACTTTCTTCTCTTCTGTTCAGTTTATCCCTTGGCCAGTTGGGTTAATTTGTTGTTTTTTTAATATAACTGCATTCGCTGTACGTTTTTCAAAACTGTTTTATGCGAATAGCCTGAGGCTATAAGAGACATCAAAAATGGGTTTTCTAGAATCTAAACTTTGTAGTTGTGCAACCTGCAAACTAATGCCTCTAAAATCATTGCATTGCGGTTGCAGATTGCAAAACTTGAGCCTTTAAAACGGAACTTTACTTAGACTTATATCTCAGTTTAGCAATCTACCACTGTAATTAAGCACAAGCATTATTTGCAAAGACACTAATCTTGATCCTCTTTTTCCGTCGTAGATCTCAAGCCCTCGCTTAGCCTGGAGCGCCATAGCCTTGGTAAGCTGCACACCGACCTAAAGAACACCTCTAGTAGCAGCAGCACCCTGATGGGGCATCACAACGCCCAGCAGCAGCAGCAACAGCAGCAGCAACAGCAACAACAACAGCAGCAGCAGGCGGCCCACCAGCAATGTTTTCCCCATTATGGACAGGCGACGACGCAACAGCAGCACCAGCAACATGGTCACGGCATGACTCCATCCTCCGGTCAGTCCCAGTTGAGTGCTCGTCAGCTTCACGGAGCGACAGGATCACAGCTCTACACGCCCGGCAGCAGTTCGGGCGGAGGCAGTGCGTCCGCCTACACGTCGCACAGTGCCGAGACGCCGGCGCTGAGCAATGGCACTCCTTCGCCCCACTACCAGCACCACCACCATTTGGGCGGATCCCATGGCCATCATGTGACGGCGGCAGCCCATCATCATTTGCACGCAGCGGCCGCTGCCGCCGCCTACGGGGTGAAGACGGAGGCGAGTGCCACCAACTACGACTATGTGAACAACTGCTATTTTGGAGGCACCTTTGGGGCACTGGGCGGAGCTGCGTCCACGGCGGCCATGGCCGGCGGAGCGGCCAGTGAGTTGGCCGGCTACCATCACCAGCACAACGTCATCCAGGCGGCCAAGCTGATGGCCACCTCGTAAGGGTACTGGGCAGTGGACAATGGCTCTGTGATGTGATCTCCCTCCTCCTCACCAACTGCACCCTAATTGAAAGCCCTCGTTGGAATCATTGCATTGAAAAGACTTTAGACATTAGTCCCACTCGTCCCTGTTCGCAGTTCCTTTTCGGTCAAGTTTCAATTTCATAATGGTTTAAATTGCACTTTTTTTAAAACATATCTTTGGGAAAAGCTATATTTAATCAATTATTATTCCCCCAAATTTAGCCGAAATCGGAAAGTCGAACAGCGGTTGATTCTAGGTTAAGATCAGCCTGAATGGCACTTAGTTTCTATGTCGTGTAAATAACTAATAGCAATTCTCATTGTACAAATATACGTTTATATATGTGTGCTTATCCATGGAGTTATATATGTGTGTACAGATATTGTTTATCGCTTCGTTTATAATGTAGTTCCATATAGTTCTTTATCATAACTCTTGTTCAACTAGCTTAAATATTTTATGTATGTGAATTCCTCACTTCCCCACCCACCCTCTTCATAGAACATTTAGCTGTAGGCTTACGTAATAGTATAGTATTATTATAACTCTGTTCCCTCGAAAATAAACGCTAAATAAAGATTGTATTCAAATATAAATCAAATTATTTTCTTTTTAAAAAAATCAAATTATTTTCTTTTTAAAGGGTTTTACGAAATAATTTGATCTGAGTTCAGGATCTTAAGGATCTTTTGAGAAAGAGATTGAGATTTAAGAATATTTGATTAAATTTCCTTAGCTAAAGATAGGCTTATTTGACTTTTGATATAGGTAAATGTGTTAGAGCTTTAAGCCTGACTAAAACTGAATCAAAAAATGATGCATACTTTTGAGCTGCTTCTTTAGCGATTGATCACCAATTTTACTCAACATCTACATCTACTTACAATATTTTGAATTTCAACGCCACCGATAAGCAATACGTTATTTTAAGTTATCATCTAAAGTTATCTTTACTTTAACCATGTAGTTTGTATGCCATTAGCGAATATGTCATTCAGAATGAATTAATTGCAATAAAATACAAATTTGGCGAGGTAATACCAAACTGACAGCCCTTTTCACAACACTTGATGACAGGTTAATCGGTCAATGCCAGAGCAGGTGACTGCAATCAAAATACAAGCTAAAATCGAGTGAAAAACAATAAAATTAAAGGCGTGATCTGCATACCAAGGTACCAATTTTAAAAGACCAATCGAAGCTATTGAACTCTAGGCTCCAATTGCACGTGACCAGGTGCGGATTGCGGTGGAGTCTACATTAGCCGAGAGCTGTGGGAAAGCCCCTTCAATTATTTGTTTTCTTTACTTTTATGACATTGCAAAAAATGTAGCCAAAAAACTGATTACCGGTGATTGCATCACTTGGGGCATTCAACAAAACGGCAGTATTACAAAGAAACCTGGCATCGATGAATGCAGCAGCAAGTGTGAAAATAAACGCCAATAAAACATTAGCCGAAACGAAAACAAAGTAAATCGATAGCGAACATTAAACCCGTTTGTTTGGCGTTTAAAGAAAATAAAATGCTTGTTAATATTTCAAGCCGATCGTTGCGCAATGCCAGGCTTTACGAGTGGGACAACTTTTGCCGGTTCGACAGCTGTTCAATCTCTGCTGGCTTTCATGTTGATGGGCCAGTCGGCGAGGAAGCAGCTACAATTAAATATATCGCAATCTCCAGACGCTGGCCAACTATTACTAAGACCCGCAATTTCAGTAATTTCCGCACGCGACTTTTTGGTCAACAGAAAAGAGATGAACATGGATGAGTAGTGTATTTTGGATGTTCGGCCACTGTCGCAACATGCAACATTGAAATATGCCGACCCCTGCGGGAGAAAGATTATAAGTCACATAAGCGTTGAAGCTCAAATTTGCATATTTATGTTTTCGTAAACGGCGGCAATTAAGTGACTGCCAAATGACAAATGATTGTTAGAGATGAAATCGTGATAAAATGGATTTCATAACAGATATTGCAGGATCAAGAAATTCCAATATAAATTTTCAAAGTAATATATTTTTTAAGTACTTCCTTAAGTAATTGACTTATATTTATTTAACATCTCATTCTTGGAGAGTATTGTTTGGGTAAAAGTTTTTTGTCTTAAGGGTCCCACAATATAATACAGTATTATTACAAGTGATTAAGTATTATTGTCGAAGCCTCTTTAAAATAATAAGAATCTTAAAACCTATTCTGAAAAAAGTTCAAATTTGACTGAGGAGGTTAAAGATTATAATGATCCCTACAAGCAAATAAAGTTATGGGAATACGATTTTCGTCAAGAAATGTTTTACGTTTATTGATGTGGAATATATTCGAAAACTGTATTACTTTTTAAATCCTCCACTCCCCTCCACTCACGATCAGGTCACTCGACCACCTCTAGGCCCAATGTTAATTGGGGAGACTGCGTAACAGAAACTTGCAACCAGAGTGCACGCGACAACCGCCAAAGAGGGCGGACGTGGGGCATGGGAAGCTGCTGTGGCCCGAGGCATTGGAGCACGAACAGCCTGAAAACCGGACCACACCCGTGACAATGAAGGGGCAAGGCAGAGCCGACGATCCCAGACAACTCCAACTCCGATCGAGCCATGTCTGCGTAATACCAGAAGTAGTCAACAGGTGAACAACTTTGGAGGGAACTTTGGTGGAACACAAAGCAGGCCAGAGGGACGAGTTGGGTGTCTTTTTCTGGCCACATGTTTGCGTGTGTGTGGCGCAACGTCTATAAACATAAACAAGCTGGGAATCGGTGGCGTTTAAACGGCGAACGAAAGTAAAATTAAGAGTCCAAATATCAATACGGCAAACAAGCCATTACAAATATTCGGTCAAGTGCTGCAGCTTCATGCACTACAGTTGGGGAAATTTGTAGTAGATGTAGAAATTATAAACCAGGGAAGTTAACGAGCTGAATAGCTTAAATAAATTAAATTGCTTGCACTCTGTCATTAAATAACTTTCATTAAATGTCTGGTTTTTTTAAGTACTCAGATAAATTAGTTGTAAGAAAAGATAAAAGAAAGTAATTCATAATATTAAATAAGTTTCTTATTTATTTGTAGCTATTTTTTATTCAAACGACACAGCTTCATTCAAACTATTTTTTTCCAAAATCCCTCCTTATGAATGATTACCTAAAATGAGGCACATCCTCTAACTAAAGCTCCCCCGTTGATAAGTGCATTTTAAACTCTTTTTATAGACATTTTCTCCGTGGTCAAGCGGGTAAGAGGGTGTACCAGTTCCAAAATTGCGGAATTCGTAATGCCAGTGCGAGCAAAAAGAGTATGTAAAACTGGCCGCAAAAGCAACCCACGAAAAAGTAATGTTGTCATGGCCTTCGATGGTTTCGTCCGACTTTCCTCATGGCTATCCCGGCACTTGGTCTCGAGCCATCGTCGCTAACGGTCGCGCGCAACGGATACCAGATTTCAAACCACGAATTTAGACGTCGCCCCAAGGATACCTTTCGCTTTGGTTTTGTTTTTCCTTTAACACAATGTTTAACACAACATACTGGAAGTTGGCGATTAGTTTGGGCGTTATCTTTTCGTTTTTGGTGGCACAAGGCTCTGCGGTCTATACGCGAGAAATTGTGAACGACAAACTTCCGTTGCAGGAGAGACGTGAGTACCGATAGCTGATAGTGCATATAAGGAGGATCAAAGCTTTAGGAACGATTCATAAAGTTTTCTAAAATATTAAAATTATTTGTGTAAATTGAAAAATTAAGTGATACTAAAGGATTTCTAAAGTACACTTATTTAAAAAACAAATTTTAAATTGGAATAATAGACTTTAATTCTTCGACTACAGAAAAGATTTAGGTTGTTCATAACATAATAAATTAAATTCCAATAAACTACATTTTAGCATTACATATATTTTTTTTATATCTTTTAAATACACATTAAAAAAAAATGTATTAAGATGACTTTACGAATGTTTTTCTTTGGAAAAATAGAAATTCAAAACCATTCTTAGTTAAACAATCCAAACCTTGTGTCCCCTAGCTTCGTGGCTGCAGACATGCAAGCGCTCCAATCCGAATGAGGACAAGTGCTTCAGGCAGTTGTTTGAGGGCTGCTTTCCGGCCTTAGCCGCAGGAATTCCCGAGATCGGTGTGAAGAGCTTCGAGCCGCTTAATATTGACCAAGTGTCAGTGTCTAAGGGCAGTGGCAACCTGGTGCTGTCCGGGGGATTTCAGAATCTCGTCATTCGTGGGCCATCGAACGCGACTGTCCGTCGAGCAAGGTAAGAGCATGAATACTGGAAAACCTAACAATTAAAGGTGGTAAAAATAATTCAAATAAATTACAAATAAATGATAACAACAAATGTAAACATACAATTACTTTCCCTGCAGCTTGGATCTGGAGCGGCGCCTTCTGAACTTCGAGCTCGAGCTCCCTCGGCTGCGAATCCGGGCCAAGTACAACCTAAAGGGAAATATCCTGCTGCTGCCACTCATCGGCAGTGGAGATGTGGCCATGGCGCTGAAGGACGTACACACAACTGTCTACACCAGAATCTCCTTACGAAACGAAACCCGAACGGGCGATGAGATCATCCACATCGACGAGATGAAGGTGGGCTTTGACGTGGGCGCCATGCGCATCCACCTTAAGAATCTATTCAATGGGAACGACATCCTGGCGGCCTCGATCAACTCGTTCCTCAATCAGAACGGCAAGGAAGTTATTGCCGAACTGCGTCCAGACTTGGAACTGGGACTGGCCGACATCTTCCACGGCCTATGGAACAATGTGTTCTCCAAGATGCCCACAAAGCTGTGGCTGGTTTAATGGTCCTATGGTCCTCAACCGCCGTTTATGTATTATATTCATAATTTATTTCGCTTTTAATTGTGTGCTTATTTGTAGGCTAATTTTTGTACTACGATTAAATCATTAAGATGGAAAATATGCTGTTCACCAATATCTCCACCTAATACCTGCCCTTGGGTAGAAGATCATCGTAGCTGAAAGACGCAAACAGCTTATCCACGGAAGCTCTCAAAATGTCCACCAGCGCCTTAGACATCAACGGACGCACTTCCTCGGCCAAGGCCTTCCAGTTCTCGTTAAGGAACTCGTTCATCCGATCGCCCAAAGCCTTGTCGCCGTTGAACAGGTTGTCCAGGTGTATGTGCACATCAGATAGCTCGTACTTAACCTTTACCGTGTTTATCTTAAGATAATTGACTTCATCCCTTTTGTACTCTTGTCCGATCAGTTCCGTGCGCATGGTGATGTTTACTGTAAGATAAGTACAGCAAATTAGTAGGTACATTTAAGACAGGTACAGTATAAACAAACTAAGCAAACCCCAAAAACTGATAAAACTTACTCAGATCCACCTTGCAGTGACCATCGCCAAGAAGCGGCATCATCATAATTTTTCCCTAAATGAAAAAGTCAATTGTAGTTGTTTGTTCAGAGTGGGCTTTTGAAGTGACTTCGTACTTCTCTACTGACCTTAATGCTGTAGTCCGATTCCATGTGCAGTTTGGGGAAGGTCAGCGACACAATGAACTTTAGCTTTGAGGGCTCCAAGCGCAGCTCGTTCACCGTGTGCTTTGAGATGCCCGTGACTTTGACATTCCGGTACACGGAGTGCAGGTAGATGGCACCGGAGTCTTGGTCCATCTTCACTTGCGGAACGATTAGTGGCTCCATGGCTGGTATAAAGAGCTCGGGAATGCCCTCCATTAGTCGCGGTCGCAGTTTTTCATAGGATTCACGTGCGCATGTGTTCAAGTCCGGGGAATCTCGATGGCACACCTTGAGGAATGATGCTGAAAAGCAATTCAAAATTTAAATTGTTGACAGCTAGAAAACTTTTTTAAAAAATCTTAACTCTAATCGTTCACGTGAGTAAACCAATTGTTTATTGACATGAAAAATTTTGTAAATCTATGACCATTTACTTACGTAGTGGCTTCTTAGTCGAAGGCTTTGCTGTTGTCCACTTCACCTGCAGTACTACTCCTAAGAGCAGAAGCAAACCCATCAACCAGTTTTTATTCATCCCGGGTTTCTTTGCAATCCTTCTAGAGCTCTGATAGTGGTCACCGGCTAACGGATTGTGGTGACTGCCAAGCTGCCGGAATCACTTTTATAGCCACTAGCTTGACCAGAAGCCGTCGAATTCTCGGTTCTGCCGCATGTGCAATTTCTCGTGACATTGCAATCCTCAGCAGTTTCATTTCAATTGACCAAGCCAAGCTATATACAGCTGTTTATTCATAAATGATATATATATACCATATATGTATACCTTGAAGTTTTTGTTTTGTCTGCCTGGCAGACATTTGGCATTTTGACCAATAGAAAAAGATTGACTGAAATATTGCACAAGCTCAAAGTTCTTAACTGCATGCGAGTTTTTTCTTAGTGTCAACATTTTTAAACAACATACTTAAAAATTATTTTGGTAATTAAGATATGTTAATTTTTTTTCACTGAAAAATAAAGCCCTTTTTTTGTTTGTTCTATAAATAAGTAAATCAATTTGTAAAAACAACGTTCAAATTAAATATATACGATGTATTTATATGGAGATAAACAAATCCGACAATTAATTTTATGACCATCTGGAAAGCTGGCATTAAACCAGTCAAATCAGGTTATCATTTCACGCCAATTGATATTCAATAGGGCAATGTAAACAGTTGAGTTTTCCAGCTACTCAGTGGCAATAATAAAACATTTTCTTTTAACATGGATTGTTTTTTAATGTTAATGCTTATAAAATAAAACCAGAAAACAAAAGCATATTCACTTAACAAAACACAAATTATTCTGTGATGAGAAACATGCAGTCAAGTTTCTAAAAAACTATTAAAGCTATTCAATTTCATGCGATATAACAAAATAAAATCGAAATAAATAATGACTTCGAATGGACCTCGGCCACACTTTCTGGACGAACAGCAAGCATTAGCAGTGATCGATTTCCATTTCACGAATAAGCCTATAAAACAGACAGTTATTTAATAAAAATGTAAAATGACTTTAAACATTCACATACATGTTATTAATCCTTTCTGCCTCGTCGATAACACTGTTCGTGCCTAGAGAGTCAAATGCATCTGAGATGGGGGCATCATAGTTCATGGTCAGACGATCCATGGCGTCGCTCAGCTGAAGCATCGGAGGTGGAGCTGCGGATATGGGCTTCATCATATCCAAATGCATCTTAAAAATCTCGCTTTTGACTTCGTCAAATTTTTTCAAGAGAACTGGAACGGGCACCTTGCTCTTAAAAAAATAAAAGTGCAGTTGATCGATAGCTTTGGACAGCTCCTTAACCTCGCCCTTATTATGCAACTGGAAACGAGTAGTGACGAATTGATTGGCAGCATTTTTTAACTCTACTGGTGAAATTGACCTTCCGTTGCACAAGTATAGCTGGTGGAAACGAATGCTAAGAGATAAAAGCAAATAAGTTGCATCATAATTAGCTTGATCAGTGTCATAATTTCCTTACGCGTCGAATATATCTTTATCGCCTAGATCCTTCAACAGTTGATTGGTGGTCTTAACCATGTCCTGAGCACTGCGCAAACCGGATTCAAAGTGAGACTTGATCGCTTTGGCGTGTTTTATGATGGCTTCATAATTGTGCGTAAGGTTTTCCCACTCTGCACCGTCGTTGAACTGAAATCAAACATAATTAAATAAAATAAATAATTAACAAGATTAGGGCGTATATATATAGGTACCTGAGTTGTAGGAATTTCTCCTTGGGCTGCTGTTCGTAGATTTTTTAACTGTTCGTATGCGTAGGTGGTAGTCAACAATTGCTCATTAATGTTGTCTATGAATGGATTGGCGACCATTTCATCCTCCAGGGACAGCGCATGCTCGTTAACACCGGACACGAACATCTTATAGATCGTCTGTTCTTTGTTGAGAACGTAGAGCATGTCCAAAGCTACACGTTTCAGCATCCATTTGGCCTCCGACTTTAACTTATTCGACATAAACTTACGAGCCAGAACCGACAGACTGGGCTCGGGCACACTGTACTCACATTCTTCTTTTCCTTGAAAGACGTACAACATTACTGGAGGATTTTTGCGCTTGGCTGCCTTGCGCGTCTCCTTGCCAAGGTCACACCAATCCTGGCTGGTGTCGTTCCACTCCTCCACATACAAGTTCAAAGGCTTAGTTTGAAGCGTGATCTTTTTCTGCGGATGAAAAGTAGGCAGAACGCAATACACTTCCTCCACCTTCATTTCTGTGTCGCGTACAATCAAGCCAATGAGATCCGCCATGGTCATGTCAGCAGAAACTGCATATTCCAGACGTTTGCAGCAGTTGACTGCAAAAATAGTTAGCACCTTCAATTGGTGTATCTTGTCGAGCTCAGCGAAGACGACTGGAACTGATTGTACTTCATCAGATGCCAGTTGGCCGCGTCGCTTGTGGTCTGTATCGAGTGGGCGGCACAACCATTTGGTGAACTCTTTGGCCCACGGCTGCGACAGGTGGTGCTCATTGGGCAGTTCGAACTGATTCTCAAAACGGCTGCTATCCTCTGGATCCTCCGTGATGGCAATGCAATTGGCGGGTTTTCTAATTAAATTGATTAGAATATTTTTTGGCGTCTGGTGTGGTATGAATGGCAGCTCGCCGGTGGCCAGCTCGTAGGCAATAATGCCCATTGACCAATAGTCCACGGAAGAGTTATAATAGCCTGTCTCCACCACCTCGGGGGCAAAGTAGTGGCGGGTGCCCACCACGCTCTGTAGTATTGTCTTTTCGGGTGTTCCTCGCGCTAATCCAAAATCGGTGAGCTTATAAACCTTCTTTCCATCCGCTCTGCGTTGGATAACTATGTTATCCGGCTTTAAGTCGCGATGGCAGACCTCACACTTAGAGTGCAAGAAGTGCAGGGCCTGACGAAGTGCGCACAAGATCTCGCGCACCTCGAACTCCACCAGTCCGTTGGCATTCTCCGGTCTCTGCAGTTGCTGCCTCACATCCCCACCATTGCAGTACTCCAGCACAATTACAGGCAACTTTGCAGTGTGCCTGGCATTGAGGTAGTCCAGGAAGGCTGGATCTTCCTTGTCCAGGATCACGCCCGCCACAATGTGAGGAAAATGCTGAAACTGGCGCGCCCAATTAAACTCCTTGTTCCAGCGTTCGCTCAGTTTTATCTGCTGATCGGCACTCAACGAGTTTAAGTTTAATTTGTTGACATGTTTGGTGGCTAAAAGAAATATAAATAAACAAACGAAAGTGGTGTTTATATCTGCGACGCAGAGACTGGCTTTCGGCTGAGTCAGCCAAAAGGCTATATGCTGTAAAGCCTATGGACTATCGCATCCGGAGACCACACAGGCGTTGAAATTCGCGCGGGTGGCCTTGTTATCAGTGCACCACCGGGAAATGCTTGCATCAGCCCGATTTCTGGGAATTGCACACAAACACCAAACACAGGGAAAAGCATATCCATATATGTACGTTGGTGTGGGGCCCGAAAGTTGTTTATAGCTCACCGATTTCCCGGCCCGTCGTCCGGTGTCGCCACTGGATCACCTCACCGAAGCCACCCTGGCCCAATTTGCCGCATAGCTCCCAGTTTCCCCAGGAGTACATTATTTCGCTTTTTTCTCTATCTCTTTAATTTACGCAGCACCTTCTTTAAAGAATCCCTCCATTCTACAGCGAAAATCAAAACTTCAAAAAGATCCTTAGTGATGGGCGATAGTTAAGTTCTTGCGCACTTGTCTCAGCGGCTCACAAATATTTACATTAAGGGTGTTCATAGCTGAAAATATATTTCTGTTAACAGCAGTGGCGGTTTTAAGTTCTGAGACCAAAATCTCATATTGAATTTAAAGAACTAAAATTCTCGGTGATATCGGAAATAAAAGTAACTATTAATAATCAGTTATTGAAATTCTAATTAGTAACTAATAGTGAGTTAAAATAAAATTATAACAATTACCATACAATCGAATTATTCTCTTTTGAATTTGTATGATGTATTTAATCAATTTTGGTAAAAAATTGTAAAATGTGTAATACAATTGTCTGGAAGTATACAAGTATTAATTAGTTATAATAGAATAATAAAATACAATTTTTTTTTTGTCCCCCTTATTTTTTATTTAAACCAACTTCAGATATTTCTGTCTTTAAAACTACAAAAATACTATTTCTTAAGGTATACAATTCGAACGACTTCCAATATATTTTAGTTATTGTCAGCCTGCGATATTCGGTCACGGTTTACATAGCTCACCCTCAGCTTTATCGACAAATGTATCGCTTCAGTTTTGACATCACTAATCAAACAGGTTGTAAACAAATATCTGAGAAATAGCGACAGTTTAGAAAAAAGTACTATTTCTGCATGCTCGTGATAAAATGCGTTTCCACATGAAGAGCGGCAGCGAGGAAAACGACATAGTGGCAGCCACAGCCACCGCAGAGCACATCCGCAAGTTCGTCTTCAGTGGATCCCCCGCGGAGCGTTTGGAGATCAAGATACCTGAGGTAAAATGAAGATCTAGGTGTTCCCGCAGCAACTAATCTTTTCTGTATTGACCAATAGCTGCTCCAGGGAGCGTACTCCTTCTACACTTGGCCTTGCGCCCCAGTGCTCGCCCATTTTCTGTGGGAGAGAAGACAATCGCTGGCCGGGAAGCGCGTCCTGGAGCTTGGAAGCGGTACCGCCCTGCCCGGCATTTTGGCCGCCAAATGTCGCGCCCAGGTGGTCCTGACCGACAACTGCATCCTGCCCAAGTCGCTTGCTCACATTCGCAAATCTTGCCTGGCTAACCAGCTGCAGCCGGGCGTTGACATCGATGTGGTGGGCCTGAGTTGGGGTCTGCTGCTGAACAGCGTTTTCCGGCTCCCGCCCCTGGACCTCATCATTGCCGCCGACTGTTTCTACGATCCCAGTGTGTTCGAGGACATTGTGGTCACTGTAGCCTTTCTGCTTGAACGGAATGCCGGGGCCAAATTTATATTTAGTTATCAGGAAAGGAGCGCCGACTGGTCGATCGAGGCGCTGCTCAAGAAGTGGAAACTGCAGGCACTGCCCATCAGCATGGATGATATCGGCAAGGAGTCGGGCGTGGATCTTCTGGAGTTTATGGGCGGGCACACAATTCACCTTCTTGAAATTACGCGCGTCGACGGCAGCCACACAATAAATGCTATATAACAATAATACAGATTTTGATTTTTATACATGGGATTCGAGTTTAAATAGATGCTTGGTACTTCATTTGCCTCTCAGTATAATATGTTTTGATTATGAATATTTTACAAAATAAAAATATGGATTTAATGAATATTTAAGGTTGAAAATTAAAATATATCTGTTTATGGGTTTACGTACGTTTTCGAAAGATACATACATAATATTATCATATTATTAGATGGTATACATTTTCATTGTTAAAGTATTTCACCCTTTGGCTTATTAATTGCAATATTTTTACACATTTGATTGCACATAACAATGTAAAAATGAATGGCAAAATCACATTAATTTTAAAATTTTAAAAAAGTACATTTAGTAAGATGTAAAAACACAACCCAGTGGAATCCAGCTATTTTTAATTCCACTATTCCATGTATTATATCGATTATTTCTGGCGGTCACACTGGCGCGCGACGACGCTGCTGAAGAACTGCAAAATTATTATTTATTTACCTCACCCTTACGCGAGCAACCGAGTAAATTCCGCTGCACAAAAGTGCCTCGAAGTGCTGAAAACATAATTAAGTTATTGTTTATTGTTGCCTCAGTGCTTGGCAGCCCAGGAAAAAGCTCGTCGGTGTGTCCAAGTCGAATTAGTGTGCGTGCCTGAGTGTTGTGCTGTGTGTGAGTGTTGGTGTGTCGCCTGCGAAAAATCGAAGTTATTGCATTGCGCAGCCTTTAAAAACGCTGCCGCTAGCCAGCTGTCCGGCCCCACAGACCTCGACACGCCCCCCGCTGCTCGGCGGTACTTGGATCTTCATTCTGATGGTGAGTGGGTGTGGGGGTTTCGGAATGCACTTGAGTGCATCGCGATTTTGTTCCAGGGCGTCGCTTTTTGTGCAGCTCTAAAGCTGCAACCACTGAAAATTAAAGGCCAAAGCAACAATTTGTGGTTGGAAGGAACGGTAAACGACGGCATTTTCCAGACGCAAAGCCTCACAGGAGAAACATTTGTTGTTGCCTGAGATCCGTTAATTCGAACCAGAGAGCGTCGGTGTGCGTGAGAGCTTGGAAGAACGCTTAAGATATAGAGAGAGAGAGTATGGTTAAGAAGTGGTTGACAAAGCGCGGCATATCCGACTAATGGATTGCTCTACTATAACTTGAACAAAGTAAAATCAGTCCAGGAGCAGATCTAGAGAAAAATGTTGAGGGCTATAAATAATGAAATTCATTTAATAGTTTTTTTGTGATACTACATACATTTGTACGAGTATTATGAATAATGCGCGCCTAAATCAGCCACAGACTTGCGTGTGCGTGTAAGTCACCTTTTGTGGAGGAAGGGAAGGGCTGCCCTGCTCTGATATACAATATTGTCTGAATAATGCGCGTAATTCCGTGAAATGATATCACCCATCCTGGTGACAAGCCCACCAACCTTTTCCGAAAAACCAAATTCGCACGCTCCTATTTCTATTTCTATTTGCCAAATAACTGCAGTTGGTCGGCGCAATCTAAATATGGCCGACCCATTTAATCTTGCCGTCTCTCGAGCAGAACGGACGGATGATTCCTTTGGCCTCCGGCATTTCATCGACGATTAAGCTCAATTTCGAAACATTAGCTTGATGACTCCTGACAACCAGAATAGTTCTGCTTCATTGGGATTTGTTTAATTTTTGAGAGAAATTCCATTTGATTTGGTTTTATATAATATCTCTTTTCCCTAGAATGTTGGTTGAGGCAACTGCTTGCGACAGAGACCACTGAGGAGAATCCGCTGCTCAGACCGAATTGAGTAGCGTTCTGAGCAACATACAATGGCCGAGGATACCGAGTACAAGAAGCTGCCGGTGGAAGAGCGATGTGTCCACAAGCTGTGGAAGGCCCGCGTCGATGGCTACGAGGAGGCCGCCAAGATCTTCCGCGAGCTGGACGACGAGAAGTCCCCGGAGTGGTCCAAGTTCGCAGGTCTCATCAAGAAGATGGTTGTGGACTCCAATGCCTTGGCCCAGGAGAAGGGTTTGGAGGCAGCCCTCATCTTCGTAGAGAACAGCGGCCTTGCTGGACGCACTGTGGGCGATGTGATGACCGGCATTGTCCAGAAGTGCATTGCCGCGCCCAAGACAAAGACCAAGGAGCTCTCCGTCCAGGTTGCACTCATGTACGTGGAGATTGAGAAGCAGGATGCTGTTGTCGAGGAGCTAATTAAGGGCATGGAGGCTAAGAACCCCAAGATTGTGTCCGCCTGTGTGGCGGCCACTACGCTGGCTCTTCGTGAGTTCGGACACAAAGTGATCGGCGTCAAGCCGTTGATTAAGAAACTAGCCCCGCTGATGTCAGAACGAGATAAGGCGGTCCGAGATGAGGGAAAACAGTTGGCCGTGGAGATCTACCGCTGGATCGGAGCCGCCATGAAGGCACAGATCTCCACGTTGCCACAGGTTACGCTCAAGGAGCTGGAGGATGAGTTTGACAAGCTCAAAGGCGAACGTGTAGAGCCCTCCAGGTGAGCTTGTACCCTTCTCTCAAATGATTCATTTAATAAACTTTTTTCCTTTTAGATATCTAAAGTCCCAGCAAGAGAAGCAAGCCAAGATCGCCGACGCAGCAGCCATCGAGGATGCCTATCATGGTAAGGACTCTATACTTCCGCTAAATCAATATAATTTAAGTTTTTGGTTTACTTAAATTAAATAGAAGAGGATGGCGAGCCTGGCGTCGAAGAAATCGATCCAATGGATCTACTTGATCCCGTTGATATACTCTCAAAGATGCCCAAGGACTTCTACGACAAGCTAGAGGAAAAGAAGTGGACACTACGCAAGGAATCGCTGGAGGTCCTGGAGAAGCTGCTTACCGACCATCCAAAACTTGAGAACGGAGAGTACGGAACACTAGTAAGCGCCCTGAAAAAAGTGATTACCAAGGATTCCAACGTTGTCCTTGTGGCAATGGCCGGAAAATGTTTAGCCCTGCTAGCAAAAGGATTGGCAAAGCGCTTCTCCAACTACGCATCGGTAAGTAATGTCTTGGTTCCCTACATTCGTTTAAGCGAAGCATAATCAAATACGTTATTTTATTTCAGGCTTGTGTCCCATCCCTTTTAGAGAAATTTAAAGAAAAAAAACCTAATGTTGTGACAGCCCTACGAGAGGCGATCGATGCCATCTACTCCTCCACCTCACTGGAGACCCAACAAGAGTCCATTGTGGAGTCGCTTGCTAACAAGAATCCAAGTGTTAAATCTGAGACGGCTTTGTTCTTGGCCCGTGCTCTGACCCGCACTCAGCCAACCGCGCTTAACAAGAAGCTGCTCAAGCTTCTCACCACTAGTTTAGTTAAAACTCTTAACGAGCCGGATCCCACGGTCCGCGACAGCAGCGCCGAAGCCCTGGGAACTCTAATGAAACTAATGGGTGATAAGGCGGTGACTCCACTCCTAGCGGACGTCGATCCACTCAAGATGGTCAAGATCAAGGAGTGCCACGACAAGGCGGAGATAAAGATAAAGGTTGCAGGTCCAAAGAAGGAGGCACGACCTGCATCTGCACCGGCTGCGAAAACCACTGCTCCTGCGAAGACCACCGCAGGCAGTGCTGATCCGAAGCCAGTGGCACGACCTGCTACTACAGGGGCACGCAAAGTCCTGAAGAAGCCCTCGTCAAGTACAGGGGGAGGAGCTGCATCTGCTCCAGCTGCAACCTCCAAAGGGACTGGAAAAGCCCTAGTCACGGAACGTGAATTAACGCCCGAAGATTTGCAGGAAAAGGCAGAGGAAATTCTGCCAGCCGACATACTTAATGGATTGGTGGATTCCAACTGGAAGAATCGCCTCGCTGCCGTTGAGCAGCTTCTGGGCGAAATTACCGGCTTCGATGCAAAACAGGCGGGCATATCTCAGATTTTGATCCGTACCATCAGCGGGCGTAAGCCCGGTCTTAAGGAAATGAATTTCCAGGTACTCAAGTTTAAGCTGGACATTATCCGTAGTGTGGCTGAGAATTATCCGCTGACCACGACAACTGTAGATCTGGTGATTAACGAAATAACCGAAAAGTTGGCTGATGCTAAGAATGGAGCAGCTGCTGCTGATGTTCTTTCCGCGTTTGCTGAAGCCACAAAGCTGGAGTATGTCGTTGGCAAAGTTCTGAACTTTGCCTTCGAGCAAAAGTCACCGAAAGTGCAATCAGAGGCCTTCAATTGGGTGGGCAAATCTATCACAGAGTTCGGCTTTCAACTGCAGCCAAAAACTTTAATCGAGGATGTACGTAAGGGCGTGCAGAGCACAAATCCAACAGTTCGTGCCGCTGCCATCCAACTTGTGGGCACTATGTCCATGTATATGGGAAATGCTCTTATGATGTTCTTCGATAGTGAAAAGCCCGCCTTAAAGTCTCAGATCCAGGTGGAGTTTGACAAGAACGTAGGAGAAAAACCGCCAAAGCCTGTAAGAGGAGTCCAACGTAGCAGCGGTGGAGCAATTAGTAGTTCCGCGGATAACGAGGACGAAGATAGTGGAGCAGCCGGAGAAGAAGAGCCTATTAACATGGCTGATCTTTTACCCCGGGTTGACATTGCGCCACAGATTACGGAAGCCCTCCTAAAAGAGATGTCGGACAAGGACTGGAAAACTCGCAACGAGGGACTGACTAAACTGCAGGCTATTATATCGGAGGCGAGGTTGATCAAGCCCAGCATCGGAGATTTAGCTCCAGCTCTGGCGCATCGCCTAGTCGATTCCAATGCAAAAATTGCCCAGACGACACTGGCCATTTGCGAGCAGCTAGCCACGGCCATGGGCGCTGGTTGTCGCAACCATGTGCGCACTCTGTTCCCTGGATTTTTACACGCCTTGGGAGATAACAAAAGCTTCGTGCGAGCCGCCGCCCTCAATTGCATTAACAGTTTTGGCGAGAAGGGCGGCTACAAGGAGTTCTTTGAGAGCGAAATGATTGCTGATGCCCTCAAGGGTGGATCGCCAGCCCTGAAGACCGAGCTTTGGGCTTGGCTAGCAGACAAACTTCCAGGACTTCCCCCCAAGTCGGTGTCAAAGGAGGATCTGCATTCAATGGTGCCGCACCTATACGCTCACATCTGCGATCGCAATGCCGATGTGCGCAAAAACGCCAACGAGGCTGTGCTGGGAATCATGATCCACCTCGGGTTTGATGCTTTGAACCGCGCCCTGGACAAGCAGAAGCCAGCCTCTAAAAAGGATATATACGCGGCTTTGGAGAAGGCGCGTCCTAATCTCCCGGTAAAACCGCTCCCCAAAGGCAAGCAGCAGGCTCCTATACCGGAGGAGCCAAAGGCAAAGACAGTGCGTGGCGGCGGTGCTGGTGGGGCAGCTGGCGTTCAGAAGAGTGCATCCGCTAGGGCCGCCGGTGGGCAGGACAAATTGCCGGTTCCTGCGCGCAAGAAGGATGAGGATATCGACACTTCTCCGCTACTGACGGTAAACAACTCTAAGAACCAGCGGCTGCTGGACGAACAGAAAATGAAAGTGCTCAAATGGACCTTCGTAACACCGCGAGAGGAATTCACCGAACTGTTGCGCGACCAGATGATGACGGCCAATGTAAATAAAGCGCTGATAGCCAACATGTTCCACGACGATTTTCGGTAAGTCCTGCTGCCATCACTGTTTCATTCCAGAGATAACGTTTTTAAATTCTCCCAAGCTATCACTTGAAAGTCATCGAGCAGTTAAGCGAAGATCTGGCTGGCAACAGCAAGGCACTGGTGTGCAACCTGGACTTAATACTTAAATGGCTGACACTACGCTTCTACGATACGAACCCTTCTGTGCTGATTAAGGGTCTCGAATATCTAGTGCAGGTCTTTCAGATGCTTATTGATCAGGAATACATTCTGGCGGAGAACGAGGGCAGCTGCTTTGTGCCTCACCTCCTTTTAAAGGTAAGACACGCCCATCGAAATTTTATTCAAAGTTAGTTTAAAGCTTTGTGCATTTTCAGATCGGAGATCCCAAGGATGCTGTCCGGAATGGCGTACGTCGTGTCCTGCGGCAAGTTATCTTGGTCTTCCCC